GGATCCAAGTAAGAGTCTTAAATCGCTGAATCTATAGTGGTTCTCAATTTGGGCATGATTTGGCCCCTCGGGGGACAATTGATAACGTCTGGAGACAGTTTTGATTCTCACAACTAGAGGGGTATTACTGGAATCGAGTGGGCAGAAGTCAGAGATGCTTCTAAATATACTACAATGCACAGGACGGCCCTCCTACAACAAAGAATTAAGCAGTCCAAAATGTCAATAGCGCCATGGTTGAGAAACCATGGTCTATAGGTTCCTCCTGGTTCTTTGTTTTTCATTCCTTGAAGCTTATTTATTTAAAAAATGAAGCAGCAAAATTTGTTGTAAAAATCTTTGTTTGCACAGCTAAATTTTGCTGATCACAACCCCAGAGTGTCATTTGAAAGGTCCACTATTCTTCATTTCCAGTAAATTGACAGTTAGATCTAGCAGCTTAATCAAATTCAGGTATTATGGGGTTTTTGGTTTTGCTTGCTTTGTTTATGTTTTTTTAAGGAGGTATCAGAATCAAGACTACTTCATAGATATTGTTGTATTCTTCCAACGAGAGGCACATATCTGGTTGTATTCTTCCTTAGATGTTAGCAGACACTGATGCTCAATGCCTAGATCCAATAGTTTATCAGAGGTTGCAAAATGGTAATATTTTAGTCTAACATCCTTCTCTATTTATTAATTAGAATATTTCTAACAAGGGCAAACTTCTGCTCGTCTATCATTTGGTTAACTAATAGTAGTTTACATGAGCATATAATGTTTATTTCCTTTAATTACCATACTTGTCAAAATGAGTTGGCTTCCTAGAATTCTCCAACAGTGATGAATTAGTTTTTCTTTTTGTAGTAGTCTTACAAATTCACGGATTTAGATTGTGTGTCAATTGATGTGTATCAACCCACTAAAGTTATTCTTATTGATACTCAAGTTTTCATATCTTTGTCCAGTGAGAGCATCTTCAAATTGGATCCTGAGACCTTATGACCCAATCCTAATGGTCTCTGATAGTTTGCTATCAAGAATGATAAAAATATTCCAAGCTCAGCCCCAGGACTGTTAAGGAGACATTTTTCTAAGAAACGCTGTTGCTGTTGTTGTCACTTTTTTGGTTTTTAGTTCTGGAACATTTAGTGTCTAATTTTCAAATATTTCTACTCTTTGCTCATTTGGTTTCCTCTCTCTTCTGGTTTTTTCCTGCTCTTCATATCACTTAACTTTCATATTTTCTATTTCTTAACCTCAACTTGTCTTCTGGGAGAGCTCCCCTAGTTAATTTGTTAATTCTTCTGAGGATTGATTTTAACAAATCTACTACTGCTTCTCTCTCTCTCTCTCATGGAGATTCTCTAGCACTGAGTTTACAGGAAACAGTTAATGACTTATGCTGCTTTTCCATCTTGTCCCTTTTGTTTCTCAAAAGCATATATTTAAAAGTGTTTCCTGGGCCAGCTAAGTGGCGCGTTGGTAAAGAGCTGGATTGGGAGCGCCAGCTCTGAGCAGCAGGGCGCCGGTTCGGATCCCACATGGGGGCCAGTGACACTGCCCTCTACAGCTAAGATGGTGAACAACAGCTCAACTTGAAGCTGGGCTGCCATAAGTTGCCTGTGACGACGTAGGCTGCAGCCCCTGCTGCAGTGGGCTGCCGCCAGCTACCATGTGTGGCTAGCAGCCAGCATGAGTGGCTGGCAGCCAGCACAGCTGCCGTGAGCGGCCGTCCAATGGCCGGCAACCGATCTGCCTCACTCGGGAAGAGCTCAATGATCACAGTACCAACATGGGCCAGTGAAGCAATGTCCTCCACAGATAGACTGAAGAACAAAAGGACAGCAACTTGTCCGTTCCCCTTCCCTGATTCCCAAATGCTGTTCCCCTCCCCCAATTCCCCAATAAAATCTTTTAAAAAATAAATAAATAAAATAAAAGTGTTTTGTGTTTAAAAAACATAAAAATACTCCCCTTATTAAAAAAATTATTTTACTGATTTTCACTATAAAAAGTTAAAGGCAATATTTAGAAGATATAAAAATCAACCATAATCACCTAGTAACATCTTATTTTTCTATAGTTCCTTCAAGTTTGTCATTTTCATTTTTAAATTCTAATAAAAAAAGAATTTTTTTTATCTCGCAAAGTTTGATTAATGTTCACACTAAAGGTTTTCTTATATGGCTATTCTTTAAAATAATATGTGCTTAAACTAATATAAAAATGCTTAGTATAGTCCCTGGAACATGTAAGTGCTAAATAACTGCTTATTATCATATAATGGTATATCTCTTTACTGAATCAAAATATAAACATAACCATTTTCTTCCTGCAGCACATTTCAATGGTTTCTAATTTTTGCAATTACTGCCAATGTTACAATATCTACATATGTTAACTTCCCTTTTATTTTCCTACGAAAAATTTCTGAAGTGAGATTCATAAGTCAAAGGGCACAAGTATTTTTCTAATAATTTCTACTAATTCGGTAATTATAAAATAGCCTTTGGTTTTAATGTGGATTCCTTTGAATGTTAGTCATGTTAAATACTTTCAAGTATTTATTATTAAAATCCCCTTCTGTATAATAAAGGCATTACAGTTTAATGGGTATTTGTTATAATAGTTCAATGATGACATTTCATAATGCTTATCTTCACTATTGATTGTTCCTTAATGATTGCACATGAATCATCTATTACTGTAGTTAAATGTATTATTTTTACTCTTTTAATAATACCTGGAGATCTGTAACATTCTAAGATTGGATTAAAGAATACTTTTAAATATTTTAAATTTGGATTCTAGTTATACTGATGTAGCAAATTAATCTTTGGCTCTCATATGTACCTTTTATTTTCCTTGCCTCAATTTGCCATTCATTGTTAATATAAATTGAAAGGTCTTGATACTCTCTTTTCCTCTTTTTCAGCTTTTTATTTGTCAATAAAAAGAATTGTTTGAATGTGATATTTCCAATAACTCATGATTTCATAGGTTCTTGAAATGTTACTTACTGAATAATATGTGTTAAATGTATTTAAAAAATGCTGGTACAATATCAAATATTCTTAAAATTTGGTGATTTTCATATTCTATAATTTTCAAATTCAAAATGTAGAAATATAACATATATATCAAACCAGGGCTGCAAGGGATGTGTGTCTCCAGCAAGAGAGAGATAGACACAAAGAGACAGCAATTGACTGACCCTGAATCTCATTATAACTTCGGCCAGTAATACTGCTATTTACAGTAATGTATTATTTAGTACTTACTGAAGCAACTAGCTTCTAGTCCTCAGTCTGCTGCTAACTAGTTACATGATTTTGAAGAAGTCTTTTAACTTCTTTATTGCTAAACTGCATGGTAGAAGAAATGAGATTTAGACTTAATCTCAATAATCCCCTTCAGTTCTAAAATTCTAATGATTTCTGTGAAAACCTATATTCTAAGATTCTTTTACATAAAGACCATTCCTTAAACTTCTGAATCTCAACACACTATACACAGAAAAGGAACTTTTAAATAACCATTGGTTGACTGACTCTAAACAGATTTAACAAATAAAAAAATTATCTGTGCACTATGGTAATAAGATATCATTTCTGAGGAAAAAACATCTTAATGCCTCATCATGCCCAATAAATCAGAATTGTACCAATAGCAGAACATAAATATATGGGGAAATATACTCACCAATATATCTAGGCCAACATGCTGCTTTCCCTTTTCTTGATGTGGCCCTAATATCAATTTTCCAGTAGAAAAAAGGGGTGTATCCAATGTTTTATATACTTTCAACTCACCATGCTCAATTGAAAATTGATATGTATCTCGTGGCCTTAAAAGATCTAAGAGGAAAATATTAATATAAATATAAAGCAATAGTGATGACAATGCTCAAACATATAACATATACATACATAATTACAATAGTTATTTCTAGATATAAATCTGCTTTAGAAAGACAGGAGTGATTAAGATCACTGACTCTGAAGCTTGAATGCCAGAAGTCAAATCCTGTCTTTGCCTTCCAAGCTGTGTAACTTTAGCCAAGTTACTTAACTTCTCTTCCTGTGCCTCCCACTCCTTGCCTATAAAATGGGATAATAATAGTTCATCTATGTTGGAGTTATAAATATCAAATGAGTTAATTTATGTAAAGTATTTAAAACACTGACAAAAAGTAAGCAGTAGGTAAGTCTTACCAATTAATATACTACGGTGTGTTAAAAAAATACAGTGAGTGTTTAAAAAAAAGAATTATTACAGTAAAAAACACATTGCCATTAATCCCCCTCAAAATACTCCCCCTCGCTTCGAACACACTTATCCTATCATTCTTGCCATTTTCTGAAGCAGTTCTGGAAGTCCTGTTTCGTGAGTGTCTTTAGTTGCACTGTCGTGGCTGCCTCGATGTCCTGAATCATTTCAAAACGTTTACCTTTTATGGTCATTTTGACTTTGGGGAAGAGCCAGAAGTTGCACAGTGCCAGATCCGGTAAATAAGGTGGATGAGGACACACCATAATGTTTTTATTTGACAAAAACTGCTGTGCCAGAAGTGATGTGTGACATGGAGCACTGTCATGATGGAGGATGAAACTGTTTGCCTATTTCTCAGGCCATTTTCTATGCATATTGTTTCTTAAAAGCTCTAATAAGTTCACCGTAGTGTTTCTGGGTACAAACTCAGCTCGCACAATTCCATCAAGGTCAAAAAATACAATTAAGATCACCTGGATGGCACTGGGCAGCAGCATTCACCATATTTTTTTATCACACCTCATATAATGTCAATATTATTATTTCCACTATAGCGCAAATGAAAAAAATAGCTAAGAGCCAAGAAAGAATTCCGTATCTTTAAAGAGTTTAATATAGTCCACAATATAAAATTATCATCATCATACCAACAGATTTCTTTGCTTTTGCTTAACTGATTATTAAATAACAAAATCTTTATTTATCAGGTAAAGGCTCTAAGTAACCAGAGTTCTAGCTGTTGTTCACAAATTACTATCTCCCTTTTAAATTTCCCTTTTACTTACAAATTTTCCAGTTCTATAATTAATACATTCTTCAATCATCAGCTCCTGACTGTTTCCTTGGATATTTGGGGATGTTAGTAATACCATGGTTTACAGGATACAAAAAATACAGACTCAAGAAACAGACAAAAAGTGATGAACTCTTAAAAACACAACTTTTCAAACCTGGTACATTATAGCAATGTTTTTAATTAAGACACTAAACAAAATTTCCTGTACTTCTATCTCTGCTACCAAAGAAACAATCTGAATACAGCAATAACTTTTATTACTTAAGAAGTAAAATGGAACCTATTTCACAGCCAAAATTTTAAGTGTGAATACCATTACTATCTCTCTAGTTTTAACCTCCTTGTTAGGCTAAATAGTCCTTAATACTCACAGGCATAGTCATAACAGTTAAGACTTTTAAACATTTCCTATATACAAACATTGCCTGGTTGATAAATACCTGATCGTCCCCTATTTACACCACACTATAGCAAATCCCTTGGGATCTCTCATGGTCGTCTAGAAACTAAATGTTTAATGCGGGTTAAATATACCAGGAGACTTCTGGGACATTTTGCTGACCCTAAGGTTAAGTGTTGCATTTGTTTGGCTGATTGATGCCCCTGCTAGTCATCCCCCCCAAAGATTTCATGTCCCAGGTACCATTATTAGCATTTCATGGCCAAGAAGTTTATCTAAATCTTGCCCACATTTCCTTCCTGGTCTCCTAGTAAAAGTGTTTCCTAGTGTCTGCCACCTAACTTGTTACAATTCCCCATAAAAAGCCCTTGTCACCATGTGCCCAGAGGCCTAGAACCTGTTAGGGGAGGCAGTACTTCTGATGGTAGTAGCACTTACATCCCAGAGGATATAGATACATGGTGCAATATGTCCCCTAAAAGTTGTTTGCCATCAATGTTCCCCCAGAGTAGCCCTCATATAGCCTGCTTATTGGAATGAGACCCTCTACTGGACTTTGGCTCTTAAAGAGCTGGAAAGAGCAAGGGAGAGTAGACAGGCCAGTGATCAAGCCAGCAGTTTGTCTTCACTAGCTGTTAAATTAAGCTTTTTCAATATCATCCTTGATCTTACCCATGAGAATCATCTTTCTTGTTTCCGGGTCCTTAACTCTCGTTGGCTGCAAAGGATCTCCCAGAGGTATATCCAGGTTTACTACTAATTTATTCTCTGCAAAAGAAATACAACTGATGGGTGGGAACACACAATGCAATATATAAATGATGTATTACAGAACTTGGAACCTATGTAATTGTATTAACCAATGTCAGCCCAATAAATTTAATTATAAAATACAACTGAAATACAAACTGCATAAAGTTCTTTATAATTAAAAAAAAAAATCTAATATGAAATACAGCTATGGACAAGTTTTAAAAGAAAATTACCAGAGGCATAAAAATCTCTTCCTATTTATAAATTACCACTCTGATAAACAATAACCCAAAAACCAAAACAATTTAATACAGAAGCAAAACATCCTAAATTTCTTATTTCTATAAGCCTATTATAACATGACAACTCTTAAACTCTTGCATCATCAAGAAGTTAAATGATGTTTTGCATATTATCTAAGAGAGCTAGATGTATGTAATACACTTTAGAAAGGATTCATCAAAAAGAGTATTTTAACCATAGCTGGGCATGGAAAAGGGAAGCTTCATTTGACAGGCCAAATTTACTCATGTGGAGATGTTTTATACTATGCTTTCAATCACTTTTGCTTTTAAGGATAAAATCAGTTTGGACTTCTGGTAAGGAAGGCAAAATATGGAGCTGTTGTGCTTGCCATCCCTCATATACACATCAAAATTACAACTACTGGGTTGTCGGGAAAGTCATGACGTATTTTTTCTATGTTTTTCGTTGCAAAAATGCGTCATGACTTTTTCGACAACCCAATAAATTACGGAACAACCCACCCTGGGGAACCACCTGAAGACTAGCTGAACAGAATGCCTATAATGAAAGATATAAAGAAGAAGCCACACTCCTACAGAAACTGGTAGGAGGAATGGAGATGCAAAAGGATCTAGTCCCATAACCACATGTGGCAATTCAGAATCAGGAGGGATATCTTGGCTGCAGAGGCTCCCCCTGAGGAGCGAGGGGTCCCAGCCACACACTGGGCTCCCTAATCCAAAGCAACAGTGCCCAGAAGAAGAGTCCCCACAATGTCTGGCTGTGAAAATCAGCAGGGATTCCGTCTGGTAAGATTGAGGGCTGCTGGAGACACATGCATCCTCTTTAAAGTCCCAAACACAGAGTCACTCACCCACAAACACTCGCCCTAAGCTCCAGAAAAGGACAGCAGCACAAAAAGGGCCAGGCAAATATTGTCTGGCTTCCAAGCGAGGGCTGGAGGGGCAGCTGTATCAGGGAAAGAAGGACTGGCAGGCACCAATGTTCCTTTGTTGAGATTGCCCTACGCAGCCTGCAGGTGCAGGCAGGCACCAATTTTGAGTCTCCATTAACCTGGCTAACACCACTCACCCCACCCTGGTGATTCCCTGAGAACCCACTCTACCAAACACACACACCTGGCCTGAACTTTTCAGCAGCTGTTCTATGTGAGCAGCTGGCCTTGGTCCATGCTGTGAACTTCCTAAAATCTCTCAAAGATTCACACACCCCAAAACAAACAGCAGCTGGCCTCAGCATGTCCTGTACCTCTTGCTAAGTGGCCCCAAGCCCAGCACTAGTGGCAGCCGGCCTCAGTGTGCAGCAGACCGTCTCCAGGCACCTCCAGGCCCAGCATGGGCAGCTACCACCCACAGATCCCTTTTTAGTTCCTACCAGGTGGCCTCAAGCCAGGTACAGGCAGCAGCTGACTTGGGTCTGTACTGGAGAGGTTCAAAAGAAGCCCCAGAACAAACACACCTGGTAGCCAGCTTCAGGCCACACCAAAGCATCACCCAGTTGGCTCCACAAACAACACACCAAAACACTGGATAAAAAAGGCACTAGAACACTGCTACAAGGAATCCCACTCTGTGGTGTCAGCCTGTATACTATTGTCACAGTCAGACCTCACAGCCAATCAGCCTGAAGGCCAATCCCACCCACGGATGTTCCATCAACAATAAAGGCTCAACTGAAACAGCAGGGCACACAAAACCCACACGGGAAATACCCCTGGAGCCAACTGGCTCAGGTGACGAGGGAGACTATGCCACTGGGCCCACAAAATACCTACTATATAAGGCCACCCTGCCAAGCCTGGGAGACTAACACATTTACCTAATATGTAGAAACAAACATAGGGAGGCAGCCAAAATGAGAAGATAAAGAAACACGTCCCATTGAAACAACAGGACAAAACTTCAAAAAAAAAAAACTAAACAAAATGGAGACAAGCCATCTACCAGATGAAAAATTAAAAACAATGGTTATAAGGATGTTCAATGAACTGAGAGGAAGAATGGATGAATTCAGTGAGAACTTACACAAAGAAATATAAACTGAAACAAAAAACCTCAGAAATAAAGCATACAATAACTGAAAAGAATAAATTTTTATTTAGCGAGAATCAACAGCAGAACAGGTGAAACAGGACTGAATCAGCAATTTAGAACACATCGTTGTGGAAAACACCCAATCTGAACAATAAATAGAAAAAACTATATTTAAAAATGAGGCTCGTTTAAGAGACCTTGGGACATCAACAAGTATAGTAACATTTGCATCACAGGGGTACCAGGAAGAGAAGACAGAGAGCAGGGGATTAAAAACCTATTTAAAGAAACAATGACAGAAAACTTCCCTAACCTGATGAAGGAAACAGACATATAAGTTCAGAAAGCACAGAGAATCCCAAACAAGATGAACCCAAACAGGCCCACACCAAGACACATCATACTTAAAATGCCAAAGGTTAAAGACAGAGAGAACCTTAAAAGCAGCCAGAGAAAAGCAGTTAGTTACCTATAAGGTAGCTCCCGTAAGACTGTCAGCTGATTTTTAAACAGAAACTTTGCAGGCCAGAAGGCTTTGGCAACAAACATTCAAAGTGATGAAAAGCAAGGACCTATAACTGAGATTACTCTACCCAGCAAGGCTATCATTTAGAATCGAAGGACAGATAAAGAGCTTCCCAGACAATAAAAAAAGCTAAAGAAGTTCATCACCACCATGTCAGTATGACAAGAAATGCTAAAGGGACTTCTAATGAAGGAAAAAAAAAAAAAAGGTAAAAAATATGAATAAGAAAATATAGGAAAGAAAAAATTCTCACTGAAAAAGTAAAACACATAGGAAAAGCAGTGGATCAACCAACTATGACACTAGTATAAAGGTTAAAAGACAAAAGTAGGAAGATCATGTATAATTACAACAGTAAATTATGGAGTACACACAAAAGAAGTAAAAAAAAAAGGTAAAAACATAAAGGGCACAAGTAAAAGTGATAGTGATTTTGTTATGTGTTCAAACATAAGCAACCATCAACTTAAAATAGACTGCAATAAACATAGCTTGGTATATATGAAGCACATGGTAAAAACAAACCAAAAATCCACAAGAGATAGATACAGAAGAAATAAAAAGAAAGGAATCCAAACACAAAACTACAGAAAGTCATGAACACACAAGAGATGAGAGCAAGAGAGTAAGACACAGTGAAAAACTATAAAAACAAACAGAAAACAATTGATAAAACGGCAATAACCACATACCTATTGATAATTACCTAAATATAAGTAGACTAAATGCTCTAAGCAAAAGACATAGGATGGCTGAATGTATTAAGAAAACAAGACCCATACATCTGCTGCCTACAAGAGACCCACTTCAGATTAAAAGACACACTGACTGAAAGTAAAAGGATGGAAAAAAATATATATTTCATGCAGATGGAAACGAAAAGAAAGCTGGGATAGCAATGCTTATATCAGACAAAACAGACTTTAAAACAAAGGCTCTAACAAGAGACAAAGAAGGTATTTCATAATGATAAAGGGGTCAATTCAACAAGAGACTATAACCCTTGTAAACATTTACACACCCTACGTTGGAGCACCTAAATATATAAAGCAAATATTGACAGACATAAAGGGAGAGATCAACAGTAATACAGTAATAGTTGGGGCCGTACTAAATGGGTAGATCATCCATTTAGATCACCCAGACAGAAAATCAACAAGAGTGGTTCTAAGCGACACACTACAACACACTGATTTAGTATTCGAACTCCTAGCCACAGCAATCAAACAAGAAAAACAAATAAATGGCATCCAAATTGGTAAGGAAGAAGTAAAACTGTCATTATTTGCAGAAGACATACTATATGTAGAGAACCCTAAAAATTCCACCAAAACACTATTAAGAACTGGTAACTGAATTTATTAAACAGGATACCAAATTAATATTCAGAAATTGGTTGCATTTTTATACTCCAGTAACAAACTATCAGAAATAGAAATTAAGAAAACAATCCCATTAAAAATTACATCAAAAAATAAAATTAAATTTAACAAAGAAATAAATTTAACAAAGGAGGTAAAAGACTTGTACTTGGAAAGCCATAGGCACTGAAGGAAAAAATTTAGGAAGATACCAATAAATGCACACATATACTGTGCTCATGGATTGGAAGAATTAACACCATTAAAATATCCATACTACCCAAAGCAATCTATAGATTCAATGTAATCCCTATCAAAATACCAATGGTATTTTTCACAGAACTACAACAAATAATCCTAAAATTTATATGGAACCACCAAAGACCCTTAATAGCAAAAGCACTTTTGAGGAAGAAGAACAAAGTTGAAGGTACCACACTACCTGATATCAAACGATACTTCAAGGCTACAGTAATCAAAACAGCATGTTACTGGCATAAAAACAGACACAGAATAAAGAGCCCAGAAATAAATCCACATCTGTTTAGTAAATTAATCTATGACTAAAGAGGCAAGAATATACAATGGGTTAAAGACAGTCTCTTCAATAAATGGTGCTGGGAAAACTGACAGATACATGCAAAAAATGAAACTAGACCACCTTCTTACATCACATACAACAATAAATTCAAAATGTATTAAAGACTTAAATGTGCAACCCCAAACCATAAAACTCCTAGGAGAAAATATAGGTAGTAAACTCTAAAACTGTTCTTAGTGATATTTTTTTGGACACATCTACTTGGGCAAGTGAAACAAAAGAAAAAATAAATGAAACCACATCAATCTAAAGAGTTTTTGCAAAGGGAACCATCAACAAAACGAAAAAAGCAATCTACTGAACTGGAGAAGATTCTGCCAATGACACATCTGATCATGTTACTATCCCAAATATATAAAGAAGTTATACAAGGTAACAACAAACAACAAACTATCTAATTAAAAAACGGGGAGAGGGGGCCGGCCGAGTGGTGCATCAGTTAAGAGCTGGCTTGGGACGCCAGAGGGCCCTGGTTCGGATCCCACATATGAGGGCCAGTGACACTGCCCTCTACAGCTAAGATGCTGAACAACAGCTCAACCTGGAGCTGGGCTGCCATGAGTCGCTGGCGACGGCGTAGGCTGCAGCCCCTGCAGCAGTGGGTTGCCATGGGCTACCGTGTGTAGCCAGCAGCCAGCGTGAGCGGCCAGCAGCCGCAGTGAGCGGCCGTCCAGAAGCTGGCGACTGATCTGCCTCGCCAGAGAAGAGCGCAATGATGGTGCCAACTTGGGCCAGTGGAGCAACGTCCTCCACGGCTAGATTGGGGAACAAGGCGACAGCAACTTGTCTGTTCCCCTTCCCCCAATTCCCCGGCACTGTTCCCGTCCCCCCAATTCCCCAATAAAAATCTTTAAAAAAAAAAAAAAAGAAGTACAAATTGGCAGTTACAAAAAAAGTCATGGAGATGTAAAATACAGCATAGGGAATATAGTCAATAATATTGTAATAGCTATGTATAGTGCCAGATGGGCACTAGACTTATCAGGGGCGATCACTTCATAAGTTACATAAATGTCTAACCATGATGCTTTACACCTGAATCTAATTTAATATTGAATGTCAACTACAATTGAAAAATAAAATAAGTAAATTTAAAAATTAAAAAAAAAAAATCAGTTCACTTTCAAAATTTCAGGAAAAAAGTGGACATTAAAAAGTGAATAATGCAATATATAGATGCTATATTATAGAATTGTACACTTAAAACCTATAATTTTACTAACCAATGTCACAATAAATTTAATAAAAATTTTTTTAAAAGAGTGAAATTACCCTAATGTATCACATCTGAAGTTTTCAGAGGTAAACTTCAAAATTTTCAAACAGCTACTTCTCAAAGCACCGTTATTTATAATAAAATCTAAAAGTTACTTTCAGAAATAAGTTCATACTTCTTTCATTGCTATCAGGACAGATCCTTTTCCTATTAACTATTTCGTTGACTTTTTTCATTTCTCCTTTTGCCTTCCTTTTAGGCGATATCGTGTCTGGGGACAGTATTCCACCAATCACAAATCCTCCTGAAATTTAACAACAAAAAAGATAAAAGTATCATACCAGGGAAAGTGAAAACTTTGAAACAGAACTCTTTAAATTAATACAGCAATTTCAAAGTATAAAGATACATAATTACTACATTCTACAGCTAGTAATTCAAATAACACAAATACAAACCAATTTCACTAATGTCTCTACTATCCTAAACCTAGAAGCACTGATGAAATATGATTGAATGACCTCTGTTGCTTTAAATCAAGAGGCATTAGTGAAGACTTAAACAAACAAAAGGCCAGCAACGAACTATTTATAGTAATCCACATTTGAGGTTAGTCTTTTAACTTATCAACAAAAGGAAGTAACTACAAGATAACAATGACTATACTTTCTTGCCCACCCTCTACCAGTTCTGCAGAAATATATGATGAGAGCATGGTCTGAGAATAATGGGAATACTTAACCTTTGCCAGTTATAATTTTCTCATTTCTGATTTAATGCTTAATTTTATGTAATTAGAAACCTTGTTACATAGAAATAATAACACCTTATAAAGCCATATACACACTTCAAATTATTACTGAAAAGAAATAGAAATCAACATCTCTATAGTAATCAGATTTGAGTCTTGTCACATTTTGGGGGGATGGTGATTAAATGAGGTAACGCATGTAAATATGTAGGACAGTCCTTGGCACATAATGTACATAAACTGTAGCAATCCTTCCTCATGATTATTTTTCATCGTTAGACATTAAAGCATAAATTTTACCTGATGGCCTTCCTTGATAATCTATTCGTTCCCCTCGCCAGTATTCCAAAGGTTTCAATCGTATTCTCTTGGTCCTGCGCACATTTGGTGTGTTGGAGGGTAATACTGTAAAAAAATATTTTACAAAAATGTAGACATATAAATGTTTAGCTGGATAATACTCTGCAGTGGAAAGACTGACATTACCTTCTTGAACACTAATAATGCTTCTATATAAACCACTAGAAAAACATTTTAAGACATATTTGTGCTAATAAAGAAACATCAATGAAAAACTGGGCTATCAGCTTGGCAAAGATTTAAAAACTTGGCAATACCCTGTGTTAATGATGTTAAAGGTACACAGGAACTTTCATATATTTTAAGTAGAAATATAAAGTGACTGAAGACAATCTGACAATACTGTAATTATAATACTCTCTGACTCAAAAATTAAAATGACTATAAAATGAGTTTACAATAATTTTTACAAAAATGGACAAAGCTATAGGTACAAGAACATTCACAGTAATACTATTTATAATAGAAACAGAAAACAAAAATTAAATTGAAAACCATATAAATGGTTTTATATGGTATAAATGGTATATAAATGGTTTTAAATGGTATATAAATGCTCCACAATAGGAAATCTGTATATTGGGGATAAAATATGTGCATACATTTGTATGTATACCACATATCTCCTCATTTTATTTGAACAATGCAAAGTTCTACATACTAAGTTGAGTTTGTTGGCTATATAATCAAATTCGTATGTTCATATTTTTTGTTCGCTAGAGCTGTCTAATTCTAAAAATAGCTTATTGAAATCTCCCATTCTAACCATATTGTTTAAATGAAAACCTTGCTTTTTTTTAGTTTTTTCTTATGCATTTTAGTTGCTAGGTTGCTTGGTGCATAAGAGTGTATGATTTTTGTCTTCATAAACTGTTCATGTCATCATTACATGTCCTTCTTAATCCTGTTCAGCACTTAAATTCACTTTGCCCAATATTAAAACTGCACTACTATTTTATTTGTATTTATTTATATGTATATGATAATATACATATCAGACACTATCTAGCAGAAGCAGAGAGAAATTCTTCCTTGGTGACTTTGAAGAAGCAAGTTGCCATACTGTGATGGGGCCTATGGAAAGAATCATGCAGCAAGGAACTACAGGCGGCCTCTAGAAGCTGAAAATAGTGGCCAATTGCTGATAGAAAACAGGCCTACAGTGTCAAGGAACTGAAGTGTGCTAACAACCACACGAGCTTGGAAAAGGACCCTAAGCCTCAGATGAGACCACAGCCCAAGCTAACACTTTTGAATGCAGCCAATGAAAATCTTGAACAGACGAACCACCCAATCTATGCCTGGGCTCTTACCCAAGGAAATCATGGGATAATAAATATGTGTCATCTAAGCCACTAAGTTTGTGGTAATTTAGTACACAGCAGTAGAAAACAAATATACATTATTTAAATTTAACCAAATGTATCTCTAGAATAACTCTTTACCACTGTTTCCGCTCTTTGGACTCAGTTCTGATTTATATGATACTTGTTTAGATGTCTAATGAGAGTATTTCACATGGAAGATACTAAAGTGAATCTTACGTTATCTGAAAAGTAAACTTGATTATCAGAAAGAAAAATACCTTGGGGAGATATAAGATTATTAGATTGTTAATACATTTCTGAAAGTAGGCTATAGATATTATTTTATTTTTCCAATGTTACACAGATGAGCAGTGCGAGTCATTTAACTTTTACATTCTCTCTGGAAACTTCCCTCTATTCCTTAAGCTTTAAAAATTTTATTCACTTATGTCTAGAGGTATATCTTTTTCAATAATTATGAGTGGCAGTTGGTAAACTCAATCAAACTGCAAATTTAAGCCTATCTTTAATCCAGGGAAGTTTTCTTTACCTATTTTCTTCAACTGTTTTCTCTCATCCATCTGTTTCTTTTTTTCTGGAAATCCTATTATTTGCATGTTTTGTCTGCTCTCTTCATGTTATTTCCATTGGATGTCTTTTTTCCCTCATAGTTTCCATCTTCTGTATTTCTGCTCTGAGGAATGTCTTCCATATCAACATCAGCTATTAATACTAACTGACTTTTTAAACTAAAAAATTATGACATTTTAGTACCAGAAAGTCTTCTATGCTACAATATAACTGAATCTGTGCTCATGTTTCTTTTGTTAAACTTGTTATCCATGTACCACAAAAGTTATAGCTCACCAGAAGTTGACTACTGTTCTTAGACATAATGCTTGATTTTCCTCTCTGGTTGCTGGACACCCTGTTCAGGGACTTTTTTTCTCTTTGCCTACTCCTGACTCTTCATTCCACTCAAAGACAAGCATTAAGCACTGCAGGGTATGGCAGTCTTTTTTCAGAGGGCTGGCAAAACACTGAGATGTGAGTTTGTAGTTGAAGCCATTAGAGAAAGCCTCACTCCTACTGGTTCTCTTCAGGTACAAGCACAGGAGCATCCAAAGCCACTCTAATCCCACAAAGAGGGAGGTCCCATGAATCCTGATTGGCAAGTATCTCTTCGGGAACCATGGAATTTTAATCCTCACATGGGCTTCTAGATGGGTGCCCCTGTGCCCAGCCTACTACTTACCTATCCTACTTATTGTTTTAAGAATGAACTGGATCAAAATGGGAGGAAAAGTTGTCATGGATACCATCTAGCTAGCAGCTATGTATTATAGAATTCTCCACCCTACATTCTTAGCCTAGATGGGATCATGCTCCTTACTATGGAACAAAGAGTGAGGGCTACAGGATTTATTGGTGGATAACAAAGAAACTCAGTGGCCTGTGACGATTTACTGTGAAATTCATAAAAAATAAATATACAATTTTAATTTATCTGCCAACTAATTGAAATATTTGTCCCCACTTGAGAAAAATTAAGTTACATTTAGAAACACAGGTTTTATAATATGAAAACATTAAAAGACGGAAATAATTTTACCTAATTTGTGATGTATTTTGTTCTCTTGTGTTGTTTTAGATCTTGTTACTATTGAGTCATCTGCAAAACACAAAAGATAATAACCTGAACTATGACTACTAATTCCATGTTGAGTTAAAGTGTATTACTTGGTCAACTTCAGCATAAGTATATTAATTAAATAAAACTTGACCTGACAATGCATTTTATTTCTCCTGCTTTTCACTGTTGAGGAATAAAAACTAATGAAAAACGGTACAACATTTCTCTAGATTCTGGTACAATGAATATATCTAAAGAGCATAGCAGTTAAAAATAAAAAAACAAACAGGTTTCTATTGCTCGTGGACTTCAGGTGAAATAAGCCACTGGGTAGATAAAAATGCAGGGTGTGATAATTAACAAATAATATGCCAATAATGTAATCTATGACCTTTAAAGTTCTAAAATAGTTTAACTTGACTGAATTTAGCAGTGTGCCAATTAGCTTAAGGGCTCTCAATTTCAGTGTGGTAAGTAGTATCTAAACACAGCTGCCACCAATTCTTTCCCGTCCTATGCCCAAATGTTCTTTATCGAGAGATGAGGTCTAATTCCCTTCTTGAATTTCTACTTGCCATAATGACTTGCTTGACTAACTAAATGCAGCACAAATGATGTTCTGGGACTTCAAAGGCTAAATCCTAAGAAGATATGCAGTTTCTACTAGGTCTCTTACAACTTCACTCTAAGGACAGCTACCATATGAAGGTTCATTACACCAAGACTGCTGCACTGCGAGAAAACCCATCTTAACCATGTGGAAAGGTCATGTGGAGGAAAAGAGATGCTTGGCCAGCCCCCAACTATTCCAGCCACCCTGATTGGGTGCCAAATATGCAAGTGAAGTCACCTTGGACTTCCAGCCCAGTTGCACTATCAAATTACTCCAACCCCAGTAGCTTGCATCTAACTACAAATGCATGAAAGAGCAAGTGAGAATTGCCCAGCTAAGCCAAGTCAAACCACAGAACCATGAAAAATAAAAAAACAATTTTATTAAAAGCCACTAAGTCTTGGGTGGTTAGTTATACAGCAATACATAGCTTGAAACTTAAGTCCATGAACCACCTAAAATTTTTGATACAATTTTGTATATAACATTCATTTCCTTAAAAATTGGTCTAAGCTTTCTTTATATATTCTCATATGAGTCCATGATAGCAAGAGATTGTTAAGAATGACTGAATTAAATATTTTATAAAATTGCTAGTTTGCAAGAAACTTTAGTGATCATAAAATCTAATTATCCTGTCCAGAACAACCAAATCCATAGAGATCAAAAGTAGATTAGTGGATACCTCGGCATGGAGGGCGGGGGGTTGAGGGAATGGAAGGTACCTGCTAAAGAATATGAAATTTCTTTTGTGGGGTGATGAAAATGTTCCAAAATTTACTGTGGTGATGGTTGCACACTACTGGATTATATACTATAAATTGGTTAATTGCATGATATGTAAAGTATATCTCAATAACGCTGTCACACACACAAAAATCCAATTTCTCATGTAATCCCCACTAGAACAAGTAGAAAGCTAGTTTCTGCTTGAAAATTTTCCCACAGCAGTGGGCCTTGGAGGCAGCTGGTGGGGTCAGAGAAGGAACAAAGCAAATAAGTAAATATACTGAGGATAATGGAAGCCAGGTTTGTCACTATCTGAGAAGGGGTTTATAAAAATGGAAAAGGGAAAGTTAAAGGTATTGGACCGGAATTGGAGGTACTGCTGTGAACCAATGATTTCTAAATATAAATACAGAAATAGATATAGATGCTTATGTATGTACAGTGTAGATATATGTGTGTATCTGTTTTGTATCTTAGTCCACGAAAAACACCCATAAGCAATGATATCCCAGTAACAATTATCACACCCAGATCTGAGCTTCTAAATGCCATCCTCCACTAAAAAGTAATTGGTTCCTTAAGAAAAATAACTGATTCCAGAGTTGAGGCGGGGGTCCTAGAACATCTTATGCCGAAAAATAAGACAGTATTCAAAACATGATAGAAACATGACAAAAGGACATAGGGACCAGTTGAAAGGACATCTACTGGCCAAAGGGGGCATAATTTGAGTATCAGAATGAGTGATAAAGATTACAATCCATTGAATAAAATAGAAACCTAGTAATTGTCCATAATATGAATACATGAATAATGAATAATAGGGAAGGGGTAAGAAAAACTGTTTCTTATAGAATGCTAATTAATAGAGAAGGAATTAGGGAAATTGAAAATAATTTGGAGGCACGGCCGAATGGCTCAGTTGGTTAAGAGCTCGCTCAAGAGTGCAAGCTCTGAGCAACAGCGGTTCGAGTCTGGCCCAAGCTGAGCTGCTACTGAGCTGCCAATAGATGGCAGGATGGCTCAACTAAAAAAAAAAAAAAAAAAAAAAAATAATTTGGTATCCTCATTAGTGGATGATAATTCAGGTAGGGGTCTTCAACAGATACCAAGATTGGTGTGGAGGTTTGAAAAGGTACAAGTTATTGAAATAGTATCAGGATATCACTCCACAAACAAGTATCAATTATGGAAGAGAAAAAACTGTACCTTTAAAAGGGAAACCTGACAATAACTTGAACAGGTGATCAAGACTAACATCGCCAGTAAGAGATGGGTCAATACTGTGTGACGCCTTACGTGATGCACACAGATCACAGCACCATTTCTGTACTGTTTCTGTCATGTGTGCATGGCTGGCATCTGATCAACGGGAAACATCAGAAAGACCTAGGGTGAAGGTCATTCTAAAGAATGAAAAGCTTGTACTTTCTAAAAAAATGTAAAGGTCAGTAAAGTTAGAAAAAAAGCCTAGGAACTGTTCCTTATTGAAGGAAACTGCAGGAACAGGAGGGCTAAATGCAATCCATGATCCTGGATTGGCTCCTGAACCAGAGAGGAAGAGGAACACTGATGGAACTGCTGGGGAAACCTGCCGCATGTCAGTAAAGGAGTATCGCTAAGTCCTCACTTAAGGTCGTGGATATGGTCCTGAAAACTATAACTTTAAGTGAAACAACATATAAGGAAACCAATTCTACCACAGGCTAATTGATATAAATAAGAGTTAATTTCTTATGTCATATTTCTGATCACAAAAACCAAATCCCCAAACTTCTAAATTAAGACCCGAAACACTTCCAATATTAAACACTGACAAATATGAGCTATACATACAGTTAAGAAAGATTAATAAAAACAAGTTAAGATCATTCTTTTCCAACCGCTTATCCCAGTTCAGGGTCGCAAGTGGCCGGAGCCTATCCTGGACATTCAGGACTCAAGGTGAGAACGAACTCTGGCCAGGACACCCTTCTATCACAGGGTGCACTCACACACACCCACACACACTCAGACTGGGGCAATTTTGAGTTCTATGCATACTTTAGAACACAAAGAAAACCTTAATAAGTTCAAAGAATAAATAATAACAGGCCAAAGTTCCCTAGAACAATGAAACTAGAAATTATAACACAGAGCAAAACAAAACACAACATTGTAAAATAACAGCCAACATTACACATTTAACATATACCAGCTATTAAACTAAGCAAGGAAGTATTCATCCTTATATCAATCTACGGGATTGGAATTTATATCACCATTTTATAGATAAGGAAACTGAAGCTAACAACATTGAAATTTCTAACTCAAGATAATATAGCTAATAAGTGACAGAGCTGGCTTCAATCCCAGGTTCCTAACTCTGGAGATTAGGTTCTTAACTGATATACTCCTAAATAACTCCTGGGTCAAAGAAAAAGCACTATAATTTAGAGTGCATTGCAAGAAGAAACTGCATTAAAAAACAAACAAAACAAAAAAAACCCTATAAAATTAAGCCAAAACTATACTCAGGAAAACTCACTGCTTTTTTTTTTTTTTACCAGATAAAAAGTAGCAAAATAAATTAAGCATTCAACTTAGAAGAGAGAAAAAAAAAATACATCTAAACATGGAGAAAAACAGAATTTAAAAGGAAAAGGAATTAGTGAATTAAGGGGAAAAAAAACATTATAACAGATTATATTCCAAGCACACATTCTTTAGGGGCATAAAAAAAAAATTATAAAACCTTCCATGAAGATGCATTTTTAAAACTTTATTATGGAACATTGCAAACATATTCAAAATAGAGAAAATAGTATAATGAACCTGATACAACCATCACTCAGCTCCAGTAATCAATACATGACTAATCTTGCTTCATTTATACCATTATGAACATTTTTAAATAGTGGAGTAGATATCTTAAGTGACAATTATTTCATTATGTCATACTTCAAAGAAAGGATTATCATTCATCTCTCTCATTCTTTGTCTGTCTTTCTCCTCCCTCCCTCACTCTCTCCCCTATGTATACGGTCCTACAAATCTCTAATATAGTTTAGCTATTAAGATTAAGTACTCAATACACACTTGCCATTGGTTATAATTTAAATAAAACACAGCATACCTAACTCCATATGCACAATGCCATAAACATCAAGACAGTGGAAAATAAACAATAACTTACCTGAATTTTGCTGAACTTCCTCATCACCTACATCAGAATTATTCTTTCCAGACATTAGATAATTCTTGAGCCTAAAAGGTCCACTTGAGAAAAAAAAAGGAAGCCATAAAATTTGTGCTTTATAATGCATATATCTAATTATTTACCTCAATGGTCATTTTTCTCCAAAACTGACAAAGGTTTTTTTTTCTTATAAAACCAATAGCAATGTTATAGGTCACTAGGAATATACGTACTTATTTGCTGCATAAAATAAAGAATATACAATTTAATTCTATAACTGACTGTCAAACATGATAAAAACTGAATTTTACAATCTTTTAAACTAACTCATGGATCAGTGTTATGAATTTAAGTCAAATCAAATAACATTCTTTAATAAAAATCAAATTATAAGAAATAAGACAGAAATCAGCTTAATAAGAAAAAAACAAACAAAAAAAAACTACCACAGTCAAATGGAACTTAAAATACAGTCCAGAAATTGTTCAGAGGTGATTCAGCTTATCTCAGTCCTAGACCCCTTTCTTCCTATTATAAACCTATTATGAGCCTAGTAGTCATAACCCACTAAACAGTGGGCAAAGAAATCTTAGCCATCCATTAAAAGTGTGAGAATCTACTACAATTTACCATTCCTCCATTTTTTAAGAGTGTGTGAGTGTGTGTGTGCGTCTGTGTGTATGACTTCAGATATTGTAAAAGTAGGTTAATTTGGTTTGCTCACTGAGTGTGCTTGCTTTAAACGTATATCCACAAATTCTTAGATACTGCTCCTCTCAAGAGGTAGGGTCTAATTCTCCTCTCCAGGAATGTGGTCTGGACTTAGTAACTTGTTTCTAACGAATAAAGTGGAAGTGACAGTGTGCAACTTCAGAGACCAGGTCATTAAAAGGCACTATGACGTCTATTGTATTCACCTTCTCTTAGATAATTTGCTTTGTGATGAGCCAGCTGCCATATTGAACAGCCCTATGGAGAGGGCCACATTACAAGGAACTCGGGCCTCCAACTAACAGCCATGTGAGCAAGCCACCTTGTAAGTAAATCCTCTGGTTCCAGTCAATCAAAGGATGGCAAACCAAATAGGTATCTTGAATGCAACACCTGATGAGAATCCCTGAGCCAAGCTAACCAGCTAAGACTCTCCCAGATTTCTGACCCACAGAAACTATGAACCAATAAATGTTTGCAACCCACTATTAAGCTTTGGGGTAACTTGTTACACAGCAATGAGTAATTGATATAGTAAGTCCCATTATCCTTAGAACACACAAATACCTTCCTTCCAAAACTAAAGTCTTAGGCTCTCCAGAATCTGAATCAGACACTTCTGCTGTCTTGCATGGATATTCCCTGGTCTGAGGCTTTAGATGAATATTTTTTGCAGTCACAATATTCTCCTCATTTTTTGAGCTTCCTGTAACGCTATAAAAATGAAAAGTTTATAATTGTTTACATTTCTTCATAAAATATTTCTTCCAGATACAATACACAGGTGGATAGACAATATATTATTATTAACAAGTATCAGCTGACCCTGTTCAGGTCCTAGAACTTAACAACTAGCCCAGGAAGGAAATGTAATTCTAGGACCCACCAAGAGTTCTAACTTGAAAAATTCTGATAAGAGAAATGGTACAGACCTGGCCTAAGATGGAAGTGATGACAAGACACTGGGACACATTACTGACAGGCAGCTTATGGTGTATACCACAGTTAATCTATCATAGTTTTTAAAAAAAATCCACAAATAACTGAAATTGTTTTCTCTGGTACACCTAAACAGCCTAGTGGGGAATGGTAGGGTGTTCAGAAGGGCCCAGTCTCATCTCTTTGGTAGCTACCAGCTAATTACGTAGTTTACCTCCAATATAAGAAACAAGATACACTATTCCTAGACCACATAATTTCCTCTCTTCTTTTACCACTCTCTTAAAAGTCTTATGTTTTATTTGTTTCTTGACTCAGTTTACCAATCTATTCTTATCATAGTGAGAAAACAATTTGCATACAACATAAAGAGCATGCAAACTTCTGAATATTCTTTGGCAGTTTATTCCTGGAGGACCTACTGTCCCTCTAGGTGCTACCATCACAGCCAAAATAAATAAAAAGGATTATAAGACAATACTATGAACAATCATATGCCAACAAATTAGATAACCTAGATGAAAAGAACAAATTCCTAGAAACACACAAATTACCAAAACTGATTCAAGAGGAAATAAACAGTATCAAAAGACCTATGACAAGAGAATGAATCAGTAATCAAAAAACCACCTAGAAAGAGAAGCCCCGGGTTGCCAATGGTAATGGGAGCGGGGAGGCCGCCTAGGAGAGTCCCAAGCTCTAGGCGCGGCAGAGACTCGAAGGCTGGGTTGCTGCGAAGGGCTTGCCCCTCACTTCCCGCAGCCTGGAGGTGCCCAGGGCCGTGACCTCGACGGCTGACTTTCCGGCCTTTCGACGGTCTGTTGGAGCGTCGGGCGCGCGCGCCCCAGACTTAATTTCTCTTCCCTCCCGGAGATAGGCCGACAGCACCAGCACTTCCAGGTTCTAGAGAGCTTTGAACGACCGTCTCCCCACCTCGCCTGTTTTTTTTCCCTCCTCTTATATTCTTAGTAAAAAAAAAACTCCAGTATAGCACCTTTTCCATTAAAAAAAGAAGAAAAGAAAGCTAACGAAGTCGTTGAAAGAGCAGTGAATTGCAAACTAGAAGGCCTAAAATCGTCAGGGAAGCTTGTTGCAAGAACGCTGTCTTGGGCGCGACCCCCAGAAATCCCGAATCACGAAGGTTCTTGAAATCTGCCGTCTTTACCGGCACTTTAGGAGTGATCACCGACAACTCTTAAGACACTGTCCTAGAAGGAAGAGGCAAAGGTGTAGGATGAGACAGATTATTGCAAATACCAGGAGTTTGGGGCTGGGTGGGTGAAAGCCATTGAGTGGGAATTTCAGCAGGTTCTGAAGACAGAGGCTTTATGAGGCAGATGCAGTCCCTGGGGAGGCAATAAATAAGCTAAGAAGGGAGCTCAGTGCGATAGACACTGAAATAAGGAGCACAGAGTGGGGAGCTTTCTGAGAGTCTGGGAGACTTCAAACTGAGGAGAAGGGTTTGGTGTTAGCCCTGACTTATGATTAGATACGGTAACTGAGATAATGTTTTTTGGGTTTATGTTGATTTTGGCCACTGCACAGTGCAATTTAAAATGGATCACAGTTGGGACCTGACAGCCTGGAAAGGATGTGAGAGACGAGAGACGTGGTTCCACTTGCTTAGTTTATGGATGGAGAGACTGAGAACCAAGGTCATATGTTCAAGACCTCAGAAGGCTGGGTGGGGCCAACTGATGCTTGAATCTGTGATAAGACTAACCTGTTTTCAAGAGCAAAATCAGAAAGCAGATGTGAACTCTTTTGGTACAGCGGGTGTTAAGTCATATTCTGGTTTCAAGAATTTCATTTTTCTTTTTCATTTCTTACCACATTCATTTTATTTAATGTAAGGGATCTACCAAATTATGTACATGGCTTAGTTGTCTCAAGAACTGAACTCAATACTTTTTTAAACTTGAAACTTTCATTGCTAGAACGAAGTGGCAGTAGATCAGTTCTGTAGAATAAAGCTAACTTAACAAAGGGATGGTGTCTTTAGAAAAAGAGGTGCTGTGATGAAAACACGTTTATTAGGTCAAGGCGATAAAACTGAAGTAATTAAAATGGATAACTTTCAATTAAGGCAAAGTAAGAGCTAGAAGGAAATAGTATTTTTGGATGAGGAAAGGCAGCTCAGAAAAGTAAGGGTCTTGTCCAGTAACGGAGGCAGCAAAACTCATGATTACTTGCAAGAGTTTCTTGACCATTTAGTCCCACCCAAATGCAGGTTATTGTGCTCTCCCTTCCAAATTTATCCTCACCTCTCTGGATATAAGGCCTCTCACACTCTGTTTAGGGGAGATTATGATTGTCCCCTGACTGTTGAAAAACGGGAGGAGAAGGAGCAGTTTGGCAATTTGGATGGGGCATGGCAAAGTCTTGGAGCACAGTCAGGAGTCGGCTTAGATGATCTAGGGATGCTATGCAGGCAGTAGCCCATCAGAAAAAAAAAAGAAAAGAAAGAGAAGTCCCAGCCCAGATGGTTTCACTGCGGAATTCTACCAAGCATTCAAAGAATATGTATTCTTCACAAACTCTTTCAAAAAACAGAAGAGTCTTCCCAACTCACTTTATGAAGCTAGTATTATCCTGATACTAAAACTCGACAAAAATCAGAAAAAAACTATAGACCACAAAAATTCAACAAAATACTAGCAAACCAAATCTAGCAATATAGAAATAGAATTTTATATTGTGACCAAATGGGATTTACACCGGAGATGAAGTTTGATTTAACATCCAAAAAACAATTAATGTAATACATCATATCAATAACAAACAAAAATCACATACTCATCTCAATAGATGTGAAAAAAGTATTTAACGAGATCCAACCACTTTTGATAAAAGCACTTAGGCTTTAATAAAAGCACAAACTAGGAATGGGCTCAGCAAAGGTACACATGGGATTCCAATGGTCACTATAATGTTTTGCTTCTTAAGTGAGGTCATTGGGGAATCAGGTGTTACTTTTTTTTTTCATACCTGAAATATTCCATTAAAAGAAACTGAATGAGAAAGAAGACATGAGAATGGTGTGGAAAAGTTAAATAGAATGTATATGGGATATCTTTTAGCACCATAATGACATACACTAATATACTTTATGACCCTCTGTCATTCATTTCAGTACATCCCAACACCTTACAGGGTCTCACACATACTTAGTATTTGTTAAATGAATGAAAGAATGAATGCTATATCATAAGCACAAATTAAGCATAAGAACAATATTTAATTCACTAGGTTGTTAAGGGGTGATAAGAATTCATTGAAAGCACCTAGCAAGTACTCAGCATATAATAAGCACTCAAAATATGCTAAATACTATCATCTTAGGAAGAGAAGTACTACGATGTATTCCTAATTATTAAAATCACATTAACCTCACTTAAAAAAAAGCAAACTGAAGTGTATACTTACAAATGATTAAGATGGTAACTTTTATGTTATGTATTTTTACCACAGTAAAAAAAAAAAAAAAAGAAAGCAATTCTCAGGCAATAATGTTTATCTTATTGAATTTATCACTCACATCCCATGTGCCATATATTACTCCCTATTTCAATATGAGGAAACAAATTCAGAGTACTACATTGCCTGGGGCATAACCCAGCTAATGGCAGAGCCTGAATACCAGGTCTGTCAGGCTGCAGAGACCTCTACACTAAACTGCCTTTCTATGATTAAACAACATAGAAAAACTATTAAATGCTGAACACAGGGCCGGCCGAGTGGCGCATTGGTTAAGAGCTGGCTTCGGATGCCAGAGGGCCCCGGTTCGGATCCCACATATGAGGGCCAGTGACACTGCCCT